TTTTAAAGTACTCCTTCTTTGGAAAGCACATTGTTACTTAGTAGATCAAAACTGCATACAATAATCCAGGTGCAGTTTCACTAACAGTTCAATAGAATTGAAGCAAGACATCTTTACTCCTGCAACTTTTCTGAAAAAGCCAACATATCAGTTCCTGTCCTAGATGCATATTGCCCTTGTATGTTTGGCTTGCAATTACTCAAACAATGCTAACCCCTTTACTACAGAATCAAATTTCCCAAACCGTCATCATTCAAGAAATATTCGGCACCTCTGATTCTCCTGTCAAAGTTGAATACCTCACACCTATCTACATTATATGTTACCTGCCAATTCTTGACTCCTTTCCCACCTCCTCAAAACCCACAGCACCTAGTTTTGTGCATCCACAGATTTGGAAATATTACATTTGGTTTCAATATCCAAATGACTGATAAATATTGTGAACAGCTGTGGTTCAAGCACTGATTTACTAGTCACAGCCTGCCAACTGGAAAAAGATTTTATTCTTGTTCTCTGCTTTCGTTACTTTAACCAATCCTCAACTCACGCCAGTGTATTACCCCCATCCCATGTTCTCTTCATTTGTAGAGTAACATCTCGTGTGGGCCATTATCGAAAGCTTCTGAAAATCCAAATACAGTGCATCTTCCCTCCTTGTCCACACTGCTACTAACATCCTGAAAAACCACCAACAAGTTTGTCAACTAAGATTTCTCTTTCATGAATGCAATCAGAGTATTATTATTTCAATGTCTAGTTTCATATCCTTCATAATCAATTCCACTATTTGCTCTTCTAACAGATTTGCAGTTCCCTGTTTTCTCTCTCCTTTCTTAAACAATATGATTACATTTTCAGCCTTCTATTCTGCAGGTACCATTTCAGAATCAATAGAAAATTGAAAGATTATCAATTGTGCATCCATTATCACTATAACTACCTCTTTTAACACTGTAGGATGTAGACAGTCAGCACCCAGGGATTTGTCAACCTTCAGTCCCATTAATTTCTCCAGAGCTGCTTTTTGCTGTTGGTAATTTCTTTCAGTTCCTCACTTTCAGTTGACGCTTGGTTGTCTATTATTTCTGGAAAAGTTTGTACATCTTCCTCCACAAAGATAGGCAGCAGAACATACAATGGGAAACAGTGTCTCTGCCTGTGACAGGCTCATATTTTTCTTTACTTACGTTTTCCTTTTTACATAACTATAGCTGCTTTGACAATCCATTTTTATGTTCCCTGCTAGTTTATGTTTATGTTCAATTCTCCTTTTCTTTTATCAAATCCTGATAAACCAAAATAAACCAGAAGATAACAACAATAAATTGTTCTTAAAGTAGAGTAGCTTACTATTTCAAATTTATTTAATACAGTGCAATAGGGTAAAATGACAACAGACTAAAGATAATTAATGAAGCTGCCAGTAAATTCTAGGAACAGTATTTCTTCATTTGATAAAGCACTTCAAAGCTTTCTGCACTCAACATTCTATTCAAGAATTTCAGACCTTAATCGCTGCCCTCATTTTATTTTTGCTCTCTTTGCGGGCTTCAATTTTACTCTCATTTTATAGAAACATAGAATATCACAGCACAGAAGGTGGTTTTCAGCCTATTTTGTCTATGCCACCTCGAACAGCTGGAGCTTTATAGCTAGTACTGCACCCCCATCTTTTCCTTGAAGTCATACAAGTTTTTGTTTCACTTCAGGTATTATCCAATACCCTTTTGAAAGACATGACTGAATCTGCCTTCTCCACACACACACGCGCACACATGCACACAATTTATTCCAGTCTAACCTTTGGCTAGTTAGAAAGTATTTCGTTATGCCTCTGTTGCTTCTTTTACTGTTTGACTTAAACTGGTGCTCTCTGCACTCTGTTCTTCTGTCAACAGATACAGTTTTGCTCCATTTACTCTGTCCTGGTTCCTTAGGACTTTGTACATTCTATCAAACCTTCTCTTAGCAGCCCCAGCTTCTCAATTCTATGCTGTAACTGAAGTCCCCCATTCCTGGAGGTACTTGTGTAAATCTTTTCTGGAACCTCTCTAATGCCATCGTAACATTTCTGAAGTGCGATGCTCAGAACAGGACATAAAACTCCACTGAGGCCAAACTATTATTTTGCAATGGGTCACCATAACTTTCGTGCATTTGTACTGCATAGCTGTACTTCTAAGGGTGCAGAGTCAGGAAACTATGCCCAAGGACAGATACAAGTCAGAATCAAGCTAGTTTCACACAGGGACTTAGCCAATGGCAGAAAAGGGTGGCTTTAAGCAAGGGTAATTAGAACTTGTGCAGTATGTTTAAATATTGTTAGATTTATCAAGTACTAGTAAGGTTTATCTATAGTTGTAAATTTATTAAGCTAATGCCAAGTAAAAGTGTAAGCAAATACAAATATACAACAAAGTCAGAGTTAACCCAGACTTAGACATTTACAGCATAAAAATTTAACCATTTGTGTCAGCACCAGTCTGCAAAAGGTCTGACAATAATAACTGCATTATCCAGCTGTAAGCTCATAGGTTTGGAGGCTAAAGCAATGCAATTGAATATCTAAATATTGCTTAAATGTCACAACAGTTTCTGACTCAACGACTCCTTCAGACAGTGTGCGCCCACCCACTGGATGAAAGGATTTTTGAATAACTTAAGAGAAGTAAGGTGAAGACATGGCAGGCAGCTTGGTCATGTGGAGTGCATGCCGGCAGTATGTCAGAAGCCATGGATGCTACCAGCAACCTACACAACCGCATATTGAAACTGTCACCAACTGCAGAAACTTGAGATCCGGGTTTCTGTTCTTACAAGCAATGGCAGGAATCACTGTGGCACATCCATAAGGCTGAGAGTTATGTGGATAGCATGCTCATAGTGGTGGTCACATGGCAGGCCAGGAGCAAGCAGGCACAAAGGGAATGGGTGACTACCAGGCAGTCCAAGAAACTAGGAAGGTAGTGCAGGAGACCCCCTAGGTCTCACTTACTAATTGTTTTTCTGTTTAAGATATTGATAAGGGTATTGGTTCCTTAGAAGAGAACAATCAGAGCGAAGTTTGTGGTTCTAAGGATGGTTCAGCTATCCACGAAGGGAAAGAGAGGTGAAGAGCAGTAATGATAGGGGTTTCATTAGTTAGGGGAACAGAGATGAGTCACTGTTGCCATCAATGTGACTTCAGGCTGGCATGTTGAATCCTTTATATCAGGATCAAGGATGTCATGGAGCAGGACCACAGCCTGGAGGGTGGAAGTAGCCATAAGCTATGATTCCCAATTTGGCCAATGATATGGGTAGGCAAGGGAATGAGGACGTCAAAGCAGATTGCAGTGAGCTAGAAAGGTGATTGAAAAGCAGAATCTCTAAAGCAATAATCTTAGGATTATTTCTTTCTCCTCGAGCTAGTGCATAGAGAAATATTGTACAAGAATTGAGTGATTGGACACTTGGCTGTAAAACAAAATTGGACGGAGGACATAAGACACTGGAAACATTGAGACGAGTCTGGGGTTGGTGGGGCCTGTACAAGATGGTCAGGCTGCATTCCAACAGGACTGGGATTTGTATCTTCACAGGGAGACCTGCTGCTGCTTAAACTAGGGTATAAATTGGATTGAAAGGGGAGCCCTGTTTCAAGGGAACTACAATTAGCATGAGTAGAAAAGTAGAAGACAGGTGAAACATAGATAAGCATCAATAGGATTGGATGAAAGAAAATCATAGAAAAGAAAGCAAAATTAAAAACACTCTATATTATGCTTGTGGCATTAAAAAAGTTTGAGGATTTGAATGCACAAAGTGAAGTACATTAGTATTATTTAATTGTCATTATGGAAATGTAGCTGCAGGGCAATCAGGACTCAGATCTGAACATGAAAGGATCTTGGATATTTAGGAACATAAGCAAGGAAGGAAAATGACGGGGTGTAGGAATTTTAATAAAGGTTGAGATCAGTACATTAGTGAGACAGGATCTTAGATTAAAGGATCAAATGTGGATTCTATGTATGGAGCTAAGGAACTGCAAAGGACTAAAAATTGTGGGATATGTTAAAAAGCCACCAAGCTGTTGGATAAATTTGAGCACAGTATAAATCATGAAATTAGAGATGCATATAAGGTGGCTAATGCAGCAATAACAGGTGACTTCAATTAACATAGACTGGCTTACACAAATGAGCAAAAATACTGTAGGATTGAGCAAAAATCGTCATCATCTAAAAAACTAGACAAGACCCTAGATTTGTCTAACATCTAAAATACTGCACAAATTCCTGGGCTCAGGCTGCAAACACACAACACAGCCAGAATAATTTCTGTCAGGGACTGTTGTTCAGCCAGAAATTCTAATTTACACTCCATTCTATAAGAACAATCCATCAAACTGAACACTCTAGACCGACTAACTTTTACACCTCGGGCTACACAGCACAGACAGTATAGGGCCTACACAGACACCAAATATTCAACTTCAATCAAAATCCATTCACAAAGACACCAGACATTCAACTTCAATAAAAATCCATTCACACATACTCTTAACTTTTGGGAAGCCAATCGACTTCAAAAGGGAACAGCAGAAACACAATGGCGAACACAGATTTGGCAAAAAGGTAAGGGGCCCACAATCAGTATAATTGCTGCGATTCCCAGATGAGATCCCAGCAGCTATTCCCAGACGAGTTGTAGCGAGCTATTCCCCAGGAGGCATTCCAAAGAGCTATCCCCAGAAACTTTCTGAGGAGCCAACAGCTAATTCTGCCAGCTATTTCCAAGAGTTATCTACAGAAAGGGGACCCTAACAGCAACTCTGAGAGCCACCGACACAGGTCTGTTCCGAACCAGGGGAACCAAGAGCAACCAACCACGACCAGCAGACCCAAGAACCGACAACTCAGAAAACCAACCAACATCAGAAGGCCTCAGACATGCCCTGAAGTGAAAATCAGGGCTGCAAAACCACCAGAAACTAAGGAAAACCAAGTACTTACCCAATAGATCCACTATGTATCCTTCCGCATCAGCGGACTCAACCCAGACTGAAAGCCTACGCCATCCAAAGTCTTCATCCAGGCACTGGTACGGCAAGCAGGAACAGCCAGCTGTACTTCAAAATCATGTTTTCCTCAGTGGTGAGCTTAAACTCCTCAGACCCCAAAGTTTCCAACCTAGCTAGTAGGGAGTGGAAGGCAGGTGGTGACGGTGCATGGAACCTTAAGAGTAGGAAGCCTGATTAAAGTTTCTGTGACTAAAACTGTTGTTTTAGGTTCTAAAAATGTTTAATCTGCGTTTAATTAAATAGTGTATTTAACTACTGTCCTCTGTATAAATAATTATGTTAATTTCACTGGTTCATTGTTTTTATCTGTACAAGCTGTATTATTCTTACCTTTCATATTTAAATAAACATAGAGATTCTTCTGCCCTGAAACACCTGTCTACTGCATTCTTCATTTAACATTCCCTAAATAAGTCCAGTGTCAAACCAGGAATCTGGGGGTGATTCGAACCACCAACAATCAGCAAATTACTGATTACCAACCAGAATCCTACAATACATTCCTTGAATGCACGTGAGATAGTTTCTGGAGCAAAATACAATGAGGAACCAACTAGGGATCAGGCTATTTTTCTTTTGATGTTGACTAATGAGAAACAGCTAATTAACATTACTGTAA